CAACCCCTGCGTCTTGCCGGGCGTGAGCCTGGCTGGCTCTCGTGGGCCCGTCTGACCCCGCGGGTCTGATGCTCCGCGCGCTCCCACCCCTTCTCCGGCCCTGCTCGTCTGTCCGCCTCAGGCGCTTTGCGGAGAGGGCGGTCGCTGGCCCCCCTCTGCGGGGGAGGAGAAGGCCAGGGACTTGCCTACGGTCACCTGGAGGCCAGTGGCAGGGTCAGGACTAGGACACAGAGGTCCCAGGCCTCCAGGCGTTAGGCCATGCTGCTCAGCAGATGGGTGCCCCCTGCCTCCAGGGCTGTGCCCCTAAAGTGGCCTCTGAGCCCCCCCGGCCTGGGGGGTCCTGCCTGCCAGAAGGCCTGCCAGGCTGGGCGCAGCGAGGGGAGGGAGAGGCCCCCAGCGCAGCGGCACAAACAGGATCTGAGGGCTCGTGTCGCGTGACGTGTCCGGCGGACACATTTATCGCGCAGAGCGTTGGAGGCCACGAGGGGCCGTTGGCTCTGGCCTGAGCCCTTCCCGTGACCCCGGGCAGGACCCAGGGCTCGGGGCCTGCCCTGGGGCGAGCTGAGTGCTTGCAGCTCCTCGTGGCGTCCGGGGCGGGCTGGAGTAACGATGGGCTGGGGGCTTCTCCGCTTGAGTTCTCCACAGCGGTGCTGGTCGGCCTGTACCTCTTTGAGAGCTTTCCTGGCTTCATGGTGGGCGTGGGCCTCTTCACCAACCTGGTCTATTTCGGCCTGCTGCAGACCTTCCCCTTCATCATGCTGACCTCGCCCAACTTCATCCTGTCTTGCGGTGAGTGGGGCTGTCCGGGCGGGCTGGGTCCGGCATCCCGCTGCGGCCGCAGGGCGGGGGCCGGGTGTTTCCGAGGGAGCAGGCCCCTGGAGCTTCTGGGCCAGACGTTTGAGCCTCTTGGGCACGTCCCGCAGCATGAGCATGTGCGGCGCGACCGGAGTGTGTTGAACCCAGGCCACCCTCTTGCGTCTGGGGATTATAAAGCCTGCGCAAAGCGGGGAACACGACCCAGATCCTTGAGCCTGTTCTTCCTGGAGTCACTTCCCAGCGCTTCCACAGCACTGGCAAGTGGAACCAGAACTGAGGGGCTGTCCAAGCAGGCAGCTACAGGAGATGCTGCTCTGGATGCCTCAGGAGCAGCATCCCGGCAGGTGCTCGGTGGGAGGGATATTTGGTAAAAAACCAAATGTTTTAAAAGCAGATTAGGGACACTTTGGAAGTGACTGTGCACAAGGATAGTGCACGTGCACTTCTGGCCGTGTGAGGAGAGGGCTGGCTGGAGGAGTCGGCTCCAGGTCCGTTCCGCAGCCGGGCTCAGGTGTGGCACTAGGGGGCGCTCTGCTGTTGGCCGTACTCTGAATGAGACCCCTGCTGTTAAGCCGTTTCTCCTGGCCACCTTGCAGCTCTGGCTTTTCTTCTGCCCCGCTGGAAACTCCTCCTGTGCAGCAGCGGGAGTCGGACCGGAGGCTCCTCGCTGGCCTTACGAGCACTCAGTCCTCCTGGAATTCCCTGGCAGCCTGGCGCAGAACGCAGGCCCTCCTAGCGCCTCGCGCTCCGCTCTGGCCACCAGAACCGCACTCCCCTTGCGTCAGCTGTCGGGGCTGTGCCGGGAGGGGGCTAGCGTTGGGTCTGTCGCTGGGGGGCCGAGGGACAGCACGCTTGCGTCTCTGAGGGCTTTTACGCTGGTTTTCCCGTGGTCGGGGATTTATTTCCAAACACGCAGGGTGGTGGGTGTGGCTTGAAGGCTGGCGGTTCACGCTCTCCTTTCCGTTGGCAGTGCTGGTCGTATTTAACCACTACTTGGCGTTCCAGTACTTTGCGGAGGAGTACTACCCGTTCTCTGAGGTAAGGGACCGTGCGGGGGAAGCGTCTGCGCTGCCTTTTGAGCTGTGTTTGGGGGCAGGAGAGAAGGGCGCTCAAAGATGACCCGCCAAAAGAAAGCTGTCCCCAGTTTCGGGGTTTCTGTAGGCCCTTGTCAAAGAGGCCCCGACAGTGTTTCCTCTCAGGACTGCCCCAAGTATTTTTTTAGCCTGTTTTTTTCTGTAATGGCCTCAGGCATGTTGAGTGGGGATGTTACGATGCGGTTAATTGGCTAATCGAATACTCGATGGACTTTCTATCGACCGCTCGATTGCTTGAGAAGGGAAGGCAGCCCGGCTCAGTCCTGTCTGGGACCTACCCCTGCTGCGGCTCTGCAGTTTCGACGTCGTAGGGCCAGGCGTGACGGCGCGTCGGGGGGGCCTGACCCTGCACCCCCATCCAACCAGATGTGACTCAGCCGGCCTGTAGAGTAGAAGGTTTTATTGGTTCACAGGGACACAGGGTAGCATAGGAGTGATGTTAGCACAGGCCCTGAGAACAGGCAGCCCCATTCCTCTCGGGGGGAAGGGGCTTCACCTCCTTCCTTGGTCTAAAACCTCCTCTCATCCTAGCCCAGTTGAGACTGCCTCCCCCCCCCACCGCCATGGCTCACTCGCCCCAGGCAGCCGCACCTCCTCCACTGTCCTCCTTTGAGGCCCAAGGTGCAATCTGCTGTCACCTGGGCCTCAGGAGGTGAGAGACTACCCATACTTCCCCAGTGAGTCCCACCCAGCCTCCCCCTCCTCATGCAGCTAGTGCTGCAGGGCCTGGGGAAACTGAGGCACGCACACACACAGCGTCACTACAGAGCCACATAGGACGGTAGGATCACGTAGAACCCCACAAGACAAGTGGAACATGCGACACCAGAGTGAACACAGGATTACAAAAGTAGACAGCACCCCCGCTGCGTCTCACCTGGCTGCCTGCCTGCCCGGCTTTTAGTACATTTAAACCGCAGCGCCACTGCGGGGGTAGGTCCCAGACTGGCATGAACTGGGACTGAGCTGGGCTGCCTGCTCGGCCGGAGCAGCCTCAGTCCATGGCCAGCCCGGGACCCCATAATGCTGCTTTGCAGCAGCCTGTTCTGCTCTCCTCTTCGTGCCCCGCGTTGCTGCCTCTGATAGAGTGTGGGGGGAGTCGGTTTTAAGTCGGCTTCCCCCAGAACTTGCTCCTCCCCCCCACCTCACCTTTGCTGCTTCTTAGAGGCAGCAAGGGGGTGGGGAAATGGGAGTAGTCGACTAGATTAACCGCTGAGCCCTGGCTTACTGGTCAGTCAACTACTCGCTTACATCCCTGATGTTGATGGAATGAAAATCCCTTCCCCTGGAGTAACCTGCTTTCCCTCCCTTGGTACCTCTGGCGTGAAACCTGCCAGCGCATCAGCCACCCGAGAGTATCCTGGGGTAGACAGGACCTGAATTTAGCCTCTTGATTGCTCCACAGCCAGAGGAAGATGTGGGCACGCGCCTTATGGCTGGCGGGTTATTACGGAAATCGAGTGGCGACCCGGGCTCCCTGCGGTTCTAGCACCGGGCAGAGCTGTTACCTTCCAGGCTGCTCTTACTTCGGCTTTCTCTGTTCTGCTCCCCCGCCCTCGCAGGGCCGGGCAGAGCACCCAGAAGCAGGGAAGGGTCCTGGCAGAGCCCGTGGGATGCGGTTTGCGCTCGGAACATTTGTGTCCCCTCTCTTCCTACCCTCTAAAACCGGGGTGGCCAACCAGTTCTGAAGCAGTAGCCACTGCTAGAGCGAGCTAGCCGCACTCATCCAGCCAAGTGGCCCATTGCTCAAGCCAACTAGCCACACTCAGCTAGCCAAGTGGCCCATCATTCAGGCCAACTAGCCACACTCAACTGGTCAAGTCGCCCCATCGTTCAAGCCAGCTAGCCGCACTCAGCCTGCCAGGTAGCCCATTGTTCAAGCCAACTAGCCACACTCAGCTAGCCAAGTGGCCCATCATTCAGGCCAACTAGCCACACTCAACTGGTCAAGTCGCCCCATCGTTCAAGCCAGCTAGCCGCACTCAGCCTGCCAGGTAGCCCATTGTTCAAGCCAACTAGCCACACTCAGCTAGCCAAGTGGCCCATCATTCAGGCCAACTAGCCACACTCAACTGGTCAAGTCGCCCCATCGTTCAAGCCAGCTAGCCGCACTCAGCCTGCCAGGTAGCCCATTGTTCAAGCCAACTAGCCACACTCAGCTAGCCAAGTGGCCCATCATTCAGGCCAACTAGCCACACTCAACTGGTCAAGTCGCCCCATCGTTCAAGCCAGCTAGCCGCACTCAGCCTGCCAGGTAGCCCATTGTTCAAGCCAACTAGCCACACTCAGCTAGCCAAGTGGCCCATCATTCAGGCCAACTAGCCACACTCAACTGGTCAAGTCGCCCCATCGTTCAAGCCAGCTAGCCGCACTCAGCCTGCCAGGTAGCCCATTGTTCAAGCCAACTAGCCACACTCAGCTAGCCAAGTGGCCCATCATTCAGGCCAACTAGCCACACTCAACTGGTCAAGTCGCCCCATCGTTCAAGCCAGCTAGCCGCACTCAGCCTGCCAGGTAGCCCATTGTTCAAGCCAACTAGCCACACTCAGCTAGCCAAGTGGCCCATCATTCAGGCCAACTAGCCACACTCAACTGGTCAAGTCGCCCCATCGTTCAAGCCAGCTAGCCGCACTCAGCCTGCCGGGGAGCCCATTGTTCAAGCCAGCTAGCCGCACTCAGCTGGCTGAAGAGCCCCATGTAGCCAGTGAAATGCCATTTTGGCCACTGGATTTGACTGCCGACGCTGCTCGCGTGTGGGCTTTGCCCCAGTTGAAGTGTCGGGGCAGAGTCCGCGCTGGGAGGTAGCTGACGCTTCCAGGCTGTTGGCTGCCGTGAGTCTGGGGGGGGGGGGGGGGCCGGGTGCGCGTGGCTGTCGTTTTGTGCTGGCTCTCCCCCTGCCTCTCCCGTTTCGCCTGCAGGTCCTGGCCTACTTCACGTTCTGCCTGTGGCTCATCCCCTTCGCCTTCTTTGTGTCCCTGTCGGCCGGTGAGAACGTCCTCCCTTCCACGGTGCAGTCTGGAGGTGAGCGAGAGCCGGCGCCAGCACGTGCCCAGCTGTAACAGTAGCAGCGTTTTACCCGGGGGCGGGGCTTGAGGAGACTACAGGTCCCAGCATGCTCTGCTCCCTCTGGAGCTGAAGGGTTAGATAGTGGGGCGGACGGCATTTAAAACCAGGCTGGATACGTACAGGTGGGATCTCCCTGGTCTGGCACCCTCAGGACCTGAACCAGGGAGTTTGATGGACTAGGGGAGGTCAGGGTTCCCCTCCTGGCTGTTGGCGGGGGCGGGGCTTGAGGAGACTACAGGTCCCAGCATGCTCTGCTCCCTCTGGAGCTGAAGGGTTAGATAGTGGGGCGGACGGCATTTAAAACCAGGCTGGATACGTACAGGTGGGATCTCCCTGGTCTGGCACCCTCAGGACCTGAACCAGGGAGTTTGATGGACTAGGGGAGGTCAGGGTTCCCCTCCTGGCTGTTGGCCTTGCTCCCAGCTGCTGCCTCCAGCCTACCAGGGGCTGCATCCTGCCTGGGGCCAGGGCTGTGCTCACCGCGCTGGGGGCACCAGTCCGGGCTGCGCTCCCGGCTGCCACGGTCCTGGCCAGGCCCCCACTGGCCAGGGCTGAGTCCCAGGCACTGGCCCCACGTCCTTGGGCCTGGGCAGGGCTGAGTCCCAGGCACTGGCCCCACGTCCTTGGGCCTGGGCAGGGCTGAGCTCCCCACCACGCTGGCCCCACGTCCTTGGGCCTGGGCGGGGCTGAGCTCCCCACCACGCTGGCCCCACGTCCTTGGGCCTGGGCGGGGCTGAGCTCCCCACCACGCTGGCCCCACGTCCTTGGGCCTGGGCGGGGCTGAGCTCCCCACCACGCTGGCCCCACGTCCTTGGGCCTGGGCGGGGCTGAGCTCCCCACCACGCTGGCCCCACGTCCTTGGGCCTGGGCGGGGCTGAGCTCCCCACCACGCTGGCCCCACGTCCTTGGGCCTGGGCGGGGCTGAGCTCCCCACCACGCTGGCCCTGCTACCACCAGCCCCTGAACCTGGCCAGCCGGGGCTCTGCTCCCGCAATGTCCGTGGTCCTGCCAGATCACAGATGTTGCCGGGCCAGAGAGTCCCGGATTTCAGAGGCTCAGCCTGTACTTAGAAACCTACTAAGCAGAGGTCCTGCAGTGCCAGTGCTGCTGGGGCCTGGTGGCCCTTGTGAACTAGGCCCCTGGGTCAAAGATGAGGAAGGACGGCCTAGTGGTTAGGGCACTAGCCTAGGCCTCGGGAGACCTGGCTTTAGTTGTGTGTTCACAGTTTTCCTGGGTGACCCTGAGTGGGCTTCTCTCGGGCTGGGTGCCCCACCTGTAAAAGGCGGAGGTGGGGACAAATGCACTGGAGACCCGAAGCGCTTTGAGCTCGGCCGGCGGGAAGCCTGCGTAGGAGCCGGGTCATCGTCCGCGTTAGGCCTTGGGGGCGCCCGCTAGTAGCTGTTGTTGCTTCTCGTCGGGCAAAGCGTGGGCCCCCGGGAGACGGTCCCGAAGGCTTAAAAGGGGCCACTTCCTTCCCAGCGCCAAACGATTTTGCGCGGGGCTGGCGGCCGTGCTGCTGCTGGCTCTGATCTCCCTGTCTCCGCAGATGACGTGGTGTCCAACTACTTCACCAAGGGGAAGCGGGGGAAGCGCTCCGGCATCCTCCTCATCTTCTCCTTCATCAAGGAGGCCATCCTGCCCAGTCGCCAGAAGATGTACTGAGCCCCCGCGGGCGGCGTGAACTGTGCCCAAGCGGAAGGGCTTGGTGGGGGTGTCAGCGCGGTCCCTGGGCCTCCGGCGCGCCCCCTTCCTCCACTTCGCTCCGAGGGGTTTGGTTAGGAACGTACCATCCCGAGCCGTGGCGCAAAGCGGGCGGTGGCCTTGTCAGACCTCTCCGATGGCCCCCACGCCTTGCTGACGAGGTCCTGTTCCATTGGAGCGTAAGGAGGGGGGCAGCCTCCGAGAGCCACGGATTGTGTTCAGAGACCATGCCGCGAGCCACTGGCATCCGTTCTTAATTAAAGCCAAAAGCCTTCGTCGGATGCAGTTTGTCCGAGGGCAGGAGGAACGCAAGCCGAGTCCAAGTGGGGTTTATGTACAGCCGTGATTAAAAAAAAAAAAAAGCTCTTGAATTCCGAAACTTTGCCGTCTGGAGCTCTGCCTGTGGTTACGCCTGCTCGTTACAGGATGCACGACCACGATCCAGACGCGGAGTCTGTGAGCTGGCGGGCACTGGTGCATGCAGCTCCGAAAGGTGACTTGCCAGGGATAAAAACTGGCCGTGCGCCTCTTGCTGCTTTATGATGAGGGCGGAAGATGCCCAAAGGGGGGGGGGTTATGTTTTTCTGCTTTTCACACAAAGACACTTCAACTTTTTGTCTTCCCTGGGCTTGCTAGCAGTCTCGTTGGAGGGCTCCGAGGTGGCTTGTAGGCCTCCTAACCCTTTCGTTAGGGGCGTTGACGTCTTTGCAAAGAGAGCCGTTCTCCTCTCTGTGTATTTGAGCTACGGTGGGGTTGGCAAAACCAGAAAGCCCAGCGTGCGGTGCCGTGGCTAACAACTGCTTCCCTTCTCAGACATTTCTGGTGTCCGGTCGTTCTCCAGTTGTCCATAGTCACAGGTAGACAAACCCCTCAGTGTTCAGGGAGAGCAAGGGGGAAACCGCGTAGGCGATGATGCGGAATAAAGAAGCAAAACGGGCCCCGGCCACGTTTTTCCCCCTTTGCTGGTCACCTTTAACCTTTGTGCCAGGGGCGGGGGTGGGCGGTTGGAGTTGGGAGCCCTGCCACCAGCCGGTGTTGGCTCACCCTTTGGAAAGGGTCTTGGCAGATGCGGGATGTGTGTCGGCTCTGGACGACGGCCGCTGAGAGCTGTTGAAATCTGCCCTGTCTCTCGAGAAGGGGGATCTATGACACTGTGTCGCTTTCATGCTTCGTTGAAGGGCGGTGGGGTTTCTGTTCGTGTGCCGATTCTCGTTTAATAAAGGCGATAGACGCAGTTTGCCTTACGAGCAAAGAAGCTGAAATTTGGTGGCTCCCTCTTGGCCCTTCACTGAAGCCGTAACTGGCTGATTAAAGGGGAGGCTTTTCAAGCCCCTCACACGTCCCATGCTGCTGGTTTTCGGAGCGCTGCGGGTGAGCTCTGGGTGATGTGTATAGTACCAACGAGGATCCACACAGCACTTGGCTATGTGTAAGGCCCCGATTTCTGTAACCCTTTTAAGCGTGCTCAGAACTGGAGAGGGGGCAGAGAAGAGCCATGTCTGGCCCGGGGCTGGAGAGAATGCCTTCCAATAAGAGATTTAAGGACCATCACAAAGATCGAGGAGACTGGATTACAGGTGGTATTTATTACTGTAGCACTTATGAACCCTCGCCGTAGCTCAGGACCACGTTGGCTACGTCTACACTGGCTCTACTTTCAGGTAGGAATAAGAGATCCTCCAGAAAAGGGCTTTATTCCGGAGGATCGCGCCAGTCTAGACGCTTTTTTCCGGCTTTTCCCCAAGCCGGGAAAAAAGCTGCGGCCATGTTTATTTAAATCCGCGGGGGATATTTAAATCCCACGCGGATTTCCCTATTCTGACTTACCTGCTTTGCATGCCTTTTCCGGAATTTGGGGCCAGTGTAGACGTAGCCACTGGGTCTAAGTAGCTTGATGGGGAGCAAATACTGGGGACTCACCAGCTCTCTGATCCAGCAGCGAAAGCCAGAACAAGACTCAAAGCCTGGAAGTTGAAGCCTGACAAATGCCCGTGCAAACTGTGGGAGGGAAAGTGATTAACTGCCAGTATAACTCTCACGGGACGTGGTGGTGTCTCCATCTCTTGGTGCCTCAATCCAGTTGGAGGGGCTTGCTGGAAGATGCCTCGGCCCAGCACAAGTTATTAGGAGGTCGGATTGGATGGTCTGGATCCTTTTGGCCTTAAAGTGTATTAACTGGATCCAGGCAGGGGCCTCTCCTGATGTGAGGGGGTCTGCCCACGCAGCTGCCCCTGCAAAAACTTTCCCTGTGCAGCAGGAACGCAAGGAGAAAGATGGCAGAGTAGCGCAGGGTGCTCTGTGCGGTTATTGGACTGAACTAACTGGGTTGGAAACGGAGAGTTTATCAGCACAAGCCCGTAGCGCGGGTGGAGCGATACCGTTATACAGGTGCTGACCTAGTAGAATCACCTGCACGGATAAGCATCTTTGTTCTGCATTTGCACTAGGGAGTTGCATTGATTTATGTGTTTCTCTCTCAACTGATGTGGTTACAGCTGCATAAAAGATGTATAAATCAGCCCAAACGCAGAATTTAAACACTGGGGTTATGTCTCCACTGCAGTATTTGTTGGCAGAGAGTATGCTAATAAAGTTCTCATTAGCATTTGTTGTGCTGTCATTTGCATATTCTCTGCCGATGCTTTTTGCACAAAGACAGGCAGTGTAGATGGGTCCATTTTGTGCAAAACCCCCCCTTGCACAAGATCCCTCGTGCCTCAGAAAAGGAGGTATAGAGCATCTTGCGCAAAAGAGTCTTTTTGCACAAAACGGACCTGTCTACCCTGCTTGTTTTTGTGCAAAAACCTCTTGAGCAAAAAGCATCGGCAGAGAATATGCAAATGGCAGTGTGACACATACTAACGAGCGCTTCATTAGCAGACTCTCTGCCAACAAATGTCGGCAGTGTAGACACAGCCCGGGTGAAATTCAGCTGAAGAGCAAAAAGGAGGGACCTGTATAAGACCAGGTGTGAAAGACTCCTGAGGTCTGACTTAAACTCTGGTGGTTTGAACCAGGCAGGTGCTTTTTGCCTCAGTTTACCCATCTCACATTTGCTGACTCTTTGCATATTCAATAACCTCCGTGGTTAAGTTGGACGAAGCTGCTGGAGGGGGCTCTTATTGCAGATGCTGGTCAGCTTCTGTGAAGCACATCGTGGAGGATGGGACAAGGCAAGACCTGCCTAGTGTTTGCCTAAAGGCCCAGTTTCCCCTGCAACAATTACTGCATGTGAGCACTTGGCAATATACAATCCTAGCACTGGAAGGAACCTCGTGAGGGCATCTACTCCAGTCCCCTGCCCTCCCGGCAGAGCCAAGCACCGTCCCTGGCAGGTTTGTCTAACCTGCTCTTAAAAATCTCCCATGGGAATTCCACAACTTTCCAAGGTGATTTATTCCCGTGTTTCACCATCCTGACAGGAAGTTTTTCCTAATGTCCAACCTAAACCTCCCTGGCTGCAGTTTAAGCCCCTTGCTTCTTGTCCTGTCCTCAGAGGGCAAGGAGACCAATTTTCCTCCCTCCTCCTTGGAGCACCCTTTTCGGGAGTTGAAAACCGCTCTCATGTCCCCTCTCTGGCTTCTCCTTTCCAGACTAAACAAGCCCAATTCTTTCAGTCGTCCCTCACAGCTCGTGTTCCAGACCTTCCATCACTTTTGTTGCTTTTTGCTAGAGTCTTTCCAATCTCTCCACATCTTCCCTGAAATGTGGCGCCCAGCACTGGACACAAGACTCCAGCTGAGGCCTAACCAGCGCGGAGTAGAGTGGAATTATCGTCGTAATGACCAGGCCAGCCATGAGCGTAGTCCTGTAGGATCTCTGTCTTTTCCCCCTCCCCTCTGTGGTACAGGCCTCGATGTAACGTTTCTCGGGAGGTGCAGTGTTGCTTGAACTTCGTTTTCCCCTTGGCAATCTGGAATAAACTGCCCGAGGAGGCTGTGGAGTCTCCGTCGCTGGAGCTATTGAAGAGAAGCTATTGAAGACATCTGCCAGGGATGGTCTAGATGGTGCTTGGTCCTGCCGTGGGGGCAGGAGACTAGACTCGATGACCTTGCAAGTTCCTTTCCAGCTCATGCAATTCTTCGATTGTCTTCTAATTTCTACCACCGTATTTAACAAAGCTGGAAGAGGCACCTCAGCTGGCTGCGTTTGCAAGTACAGTAATTCCTCATTTAACACTATTGATGTGTTTCAGAAAATGAGCGTGTGAAGTGAAAACGTGTTATGCCGAGTATGCCCCTGTAATGGGTCTGCCGGGACCTGCACTGCGACCAGTGAGGGGGGGTTGGCGGGGAACGGCACGCCGAGCGGCGACCCCTCCGCCGCTTTTCAGGGAGGCGGGGGAAGCCCCGCGCAGCCACCAGCAGCGGGCCGGCTGGGGAAATCGTGTTATTCCGGCGACGGTCGTGTAATTCAAAAAACTTTTCCGAAAAAAAATCGTGCTATCACGAAAACGTGTTAAGCAGGCACGTGTTAAATGAGGAATTACTGTACGCTTGCCTCTAAGATCAACAATACCGAGACGTGAGTAGGCTTCAGAGTTAACATGGGCCGAAGCCAAATGCCACAGCTTCCAGCTCCGTTTCGAACTGTTCGCCGCCTCTGGCCGACGGCCCTGCGTCAGGACACAGCCAGCAGGCAGAAGAGTTCAAGACGATGTCCAAAAAAAAAAAAAAAAAAAAGCTGAGGTGCTGTGGCCACAGGAAGGCAGGGAAGTCCGGGCCCTGCCCTGAGAAGCACCTATATTCTACATCCACCCTAGGGACAGGCGCTGTTTGATCCGGGGCAGCCTGGCTTCCAGACTGATCCCGCCTGATCTTTTACCCACGGCTGCAAAGAGCGTCTGAGCATATCTTTTTAGGACAGTGTGGTCTCCTGTTGCTGATGGGAGAGAAAGCTTAGCCAGGGGGCAGACCCCACTGCCAATGTGGTGCGGAGGGAGCCGGTGGCCTTGGCCTTTGTAGGAGAGCTGAGAATTTGTCAGGCAGGAGCCCTCTAGCCTGTCCTCCCCACAAGGGTCTGTGCTGGCAATTACATAGGTGGCAGAAGTGAGGTTCTAGAGACACAGACCCCATAATACCCAACCCCCCTGCAGAGTTACACTAGTGAGTATACGATGCAGCACTTTAAAGACTAACAAGATGGTTTATTAGGTGATGAGCTTTTGTGGGCCAGACCCACTTCCTCTTCTTGTGGAAGAAAATTGGCACGTCCATATAGACCAAAGGGATACAGTCAAAAAGTGAACGCACATAAAATTGACAAATCAGATTTTAGAACAGAGAGGTGATGGGGGGGAGGTTAAGGTCTATGAGATAATTATATTAGAGGTGATAATTGGGGAAGCTATCTTCGTAATGGGTAATAGCTTCCCCAATTATCACTTCTAATATAATTATCTCAGACATTAACCTCCCATCCCCCCTCTGTTCTAAAATCTGATTTGTCAATTTTATATGTGTTCACTTTTTTTTGACTGTATCCCTTTGGTCTATATGGTTGTGACTATTTTCTTCCACAACTTGATCTGAAGAAGTGGGTCTGGCCCACGAAAGCTCATCATCGAATAAACCATCTTGTTAGGACTATGCAGCTCTTTAAAGACTGTCTTTTGTTTCAGCAAGACCAGACTGACACGGCTACATCTCTATCACTAGTGAGTAGGACCTATGACATTAGCACAGGGAGCAGTGCGCAGTTTTGCACGGCCATCTTTCAATGGCACGGCTGGGACTTCGAGTCCGGGTTGTGTTAGCTAGAAGTCAGGGTAGGCCGTGCCGAGCTCCCACAGGGATGGAGCTACTCCTCCTCCCCTCTCCCCCCGTCCCTGGGCTACTTCCCGTAAGGCACAGTAGTTAGTAAGACCCACTCCTGATCTGATCTGCTCCAACTCAGTGAGCCGCAGAGCCGGGTTACGCCACTCAAAGCCATTTAAAGGGGACTGTTGATAAAGCCGAGAGTCCGAAACGGCAGCATGGGAGGGTACTGGATGGGCTCATCCTGTAAGGATGTCGGTGGGGGTTTGAGGGCGCTCAGCGTCTCGCAGGACCAAGCCCTGGTTTTGCGGCTGACGTTCTAGCAGCCGTTGCTGTACGCGGAGAGGTGAGTCTGTAGCAGGGCTCTGAAGGCGGGATCCAGCGTCTCCCGCAAGCTCAGGGCTATTTCGTCCGTCCACCTGTGCTCCAGGCGTGGGAGCCGTTTCCTTTTCACATCGAAGATGTGTGTGGGTTTAAAATCCTGCGGCAGCTTTATGCGGAGGGGCCGCGCACCGGGGTACAAGCTCCGCTCGATCACATCGTAGGGCGCCGGCGTAAGCCATTTCGATCACCGGCTTCCCACGGGCGTCCTTGGAGAGAAACAAGAAGGAGCTGAAGTCGTGATCCCCGCAGACCTCGGGGTCAGTGCCCAGCCGGACGGTTGTAGGTCGGAAGATGTCTGTCACCACCGGGGAAGAGGGGTTGACGCTGGTATTCCAAGCTCGCTGGGACTTCCCTCTGGAAGGCTGTGGTGTCTCTCTAACTGTAGCCCTGCGCTTGGCATACACCTGGACTTTTTTCCCTCCAGACGGTGTTTTGCCCACTTTCTCCTTGGGGACGGCAGCTATGATCAGTCTGTCCTCCGGTAAAGGCATCTTTTTAGGCTGCTGCTGCTTCTTCGTTCTAAGCCAGTTAGAAAATGCCAGTGCATTTAGGATTTCCTGCTCCTTCTGCAACAAACACACAAAACCCAAGTAAATCCTGTGGAATTAGAGCATCAGCTCTAACATTTGATATCCAGCCCAGGCAAGCGTAGGTTAAAATGTGTTAGGGAGACCAAACACATAGCAGATGGTTTCTAAAAGTGATTTGGTGGGGGACAGTCTTTCCTCTGAACCACACCCCACTAGCAGACGCTGCTGCCGCCAATGCCCAGTTCCCAACCTTTTTGAGCCTTCAGACCCCTTTCCAATCTATTAACATGTCACCGACCTGCCTCCTTGGGGGAGAAAAGAAAAGTCAGCATCCTTCAATTCCACAGACCCCCTGCAGTACCACCGTGGACCACCAGGGGTCTGCAGCCACAGGTTGGGTACCACTGGTTAGCTGCACTGTTAATTCAGTCGGCTGAAGAAGTGAGCGTGCCCACGAAAGCTCATGATCCCATCTCCATGTTTTGTTAGTCTTTATGGTGCTACTAGACTATTTGTTGTTTTAAGTTTTCCCTGTTAATTCGGTGTCCTGGATGCTGGCCAAATTCCAGCTTACATTAATATTTTGCCAACGTAAAAATTCCCGCTATGGTTTTCTTGGGGCATAGCATTTAATTTCTATCCTGAGCCCTTGGGTTGTCAGCTGTGTAGACAGCACCTTTTTGTGCAAAACATCCCTCTTGTGCAAGAGCTGGTCTTCCTCATTTTTTCAGGAAGAATGGCTCTTGCTCGAGAGGGGGGTTTTGAGCAAAAAGGAGCTGTCTACACAGTTCTTTTTTGTGCAAAATATGGAGATAGGTATATCTCATAGAGCTAGAAGGGACCTTAGAGATCATTGAGTCCAGTCCCCTGCCCTCACAGCAGGACCAAGCACCATCCCTGACAGATTTGCCCCAGATCTGTAAATGGCCCCCTCAATAATTAAACTCACAACCCTGGGTTTAGCAGGCCAATGCTCCAACCACTGAGCTCTCCCTCCTCCCTAACAGCTGCTAATTAATTATACAAATGAAGTGTGGCAATATTCTACTCTGTGCTTCATTTGCATAAGATTTTGCGGAAGAAGGCTGCAGTATAGACGTAGCCTAGGGGTGCTTCATTTCGGGGCGGAGGGAATGAGACGTGCATCTAAAGAGTCCAGTTCAGCCCCAGAGAAAGCAGGCAAGTATTCTGGCCGTAGCTTGTCCACTGGCAGCCTACGTAAATGAGGCTAGAACAACTCCTGGTCGATGGGGTTGGAATGCCAGGTGAGTCACTCGTAGACAGACCTGGGCTTTCCAAAGAGAAGGATATTGCTGGGCCGGGGGCTTTGTGATTCTCAGATTTGTATTTACATATTCACATGTCTTTAATGTCTCCGCACTAGGTCCAAAATGCCAGGAGAAAAGGCAGCTCAAGCTACTCATAGCAAAGGTCACGGCCCGGGTCTTTCTCCTGTCAGGTGGAAATGCCACATGGAGATGAGATCTTAGCATTACTGCGTGGCCTCAGCAAGCTCCGTAAGGCATTGAAAAGCCGCTGGCAATATAAACGTCATAACCCCTCTTGCGTATGCAGGGCAAAGCACATCACAAGCTTTCACGCTTTACCCTCCCGGCCGCCCCAGAAGTGTCATTATCCCCAGCTGGAGAACTGATACAGACGGGCGGGGTCCCTTGTCCAAGGTCACACAGGAAGTTTGCGGTAGAGCAAGAAATTGGTCACTGGTGAGAGCCCTTCCCATTAGGCCATACTTCCCTCCCCAGAAACAGCCTCTGAGCCAAACGCTGCCGTGGTGCGCTCTTGCTCGCAACGGAGGCACGCTCTTGCTGAGGGTGAACCCTAGAACTGGAAGGCTGGAAGGGCCTCGAGAGGACCAGCCCCTTGGCTGAGGCAGGACCAAGCAAAGCTCTTCCTCACCATCCCAGACAGGTTTTTCCACCTTGTTCATAAAACCTTCAGTGTTGGGGATTCTACAACCTCCTTTGGAAGCCTGTTCCAGGGCTTAGTTCCCCTGAGAGTTAGAAAGCTGTTCCCACTGTCAAACGTAAGGCCATGCCTTCACTAAATGGAAACTGGTGCATTTGATCTTCCAGAGTTTGATTTAGCCAGTCTAAATCTAGTTAAGACTCGCTAAATTGAACTCCGAAGGTGCCCCCATCAGTGTCTGGTACTCCTGCTTCTGTGACGTGTAAGGGAAGCCGACGGGAACTCGAAACAAGGTACATTAACTCCAGCTACATAATTAACATAGCTGGAGTTGCGTATCTTGATTCAACATTCCCTTTTAGCGCAGACCTGGCCTAAGTCTCATTTTAAGCCCACTGTTGTTGCTTGTCCTACCTTCAGTGGACATCAAGGACAACTGACCATCTGCTTTCTTACAGCCGTTAGCATATCTGGAGATTTATCGGTTCCTCCCACTCTTCTATTCTCAAGACCAAACATGCTCAGTCATTTTTTTAACCTTTCCTCATAGGTCAGGTTTTCTAAACCTTTTCTCATTTTTCTTGGTCTCCTCTGGACTCTCTCCAATTTGGCCATGTCTTTCCTAATGTGCCTTGCCCAGAATTGGACTTGGTACCCCACATGAGGCCTCACCACTGCCGAGTAGAGCAGAAAAGTTACCTTCTGCGTCTTGCAAAACCATTCTCGTTAATACACCTGGGAAAGATATTAGCCCTTTTCCCAACTGCATTATGCCATTCCCTCACGTTCAGCTTGTGATGCACTCTGACCCCCAGACCTGTACGACCATCTAACCCAGTGGTTCCCAAACCTTTCGGCATCATGCCCCCTTTTTGATTTTTGAGAAACCCTCATGCCATAGCATCAAAACTTGTTGAGCAAAAAAAAAAAAGGAACTGACCGGGACCAAAGATCAAAAATAGCAGCAAAACTATTGGGGAGGAATTGAAGGGGGGGGGGGGCGCCTCATGACCCCCCCCTGAAATTTCTTCACGTCCCCCCAGGGGGGCACGCCCCCCAGTTTGGGAACCCATGATCTAACCCATTAGTCCCCATTTTGTAGTTGAACATTTGACTTCATCTGCCTAAGTGAAGTACTGTGCACGGAATTTTAGCCTGTTGATTTCTGTCACATTTTCTAATTTGTCAAGATTGTTTTGATTCTAACCATGTCCTCCAAAGTACTTTCAACCCCTCCCAGTTTACTAGGAGAGGTAGCCGTGTTAGTCTGATCTTGCTAAAACAAAAGGAAAACCTATGTAGCACTTTAAAGACTAACAAGATGGTTTATTAGATGAAAGCTCATCACCTATTAAACCATCTTGTTAGTCTTTAAAGTGCTACATAGGTTTTCCTTTTGTTTTAGCAAGATCAGACTAACACGGCTACCTCTCCTAGTAAACTGGGAGGGGTTGAAAGTACTTTGGAGGACATGGTTAGAATCAAAACAATCTTGACAAATTAGAAAATGTGACAGAAATCAACAGGCTAAAATTCCGTGCACAGTACTTCACTTAGGCAGATGAAGTCAAATGTTCAACTACAAAATGGGGAAGTCAATGAATGGCTAATCAGGGGTGATAAGTGAGGAAGCTTTTTTTTGTAATATGTAAGGTAATTAGCATCTTTGTTAAGGCCCATTTGTAAAGTGTCAAATTTAAGCATGAATGAAAGTTCTGAAGTTTCTCTCTGTAATCTGGTGTTAAAGTCTCTTTGAAGTAAGATGCATGTAGTAAGGTCGTTAAGACTATGTTCAGGTAGATTGAAATTCAAACTGACAGGTTTTTCCTTGTGAAGATGTCTGATTTGTGGGCATTAATTCTTTGGCGAAGTGGTCATCCACAAATGTTACAGGCATACTCTCCACTCCACTATTCGTGTTATTAATGAAAATATCGACTTGTACCAGACGCATTCCAGACCCCTGCAATACCCCTCTAAATATGCCTTTCTCGTGTGACAGCGAGCCATTGATAAGTTTAGTTTAGAAAAGAGAAGACTGAGAGGGGACATGAGAGAAGTTTTCTGGTCTCTAAAAGGGTGTTACAAGGAGGAGGGAGGAAAATGGTTCTCCTTATGATAATGGTTCTCTGAGGATAGGACAGGAAGCAATAAGCTTAAATTGCAGTGAGGGAGGTTTAGGTCGGTGTAAACACGTCCCTCGCCGGCTGGGGGGAGAGGGGGGTCCGGGCCCGCCCCCTCTCACGGACCCCAGCCCAGGGCCCTAAGGACACGGACGCATCTGCTGTCCGGTCCGGCTGGCGGGGCAATCCGCCGTAACTCGCCAGCCCACAGGCTCCCTTTGCCTGCCCTGGGCTACTTCCTCTCTCCGCGCTCAGATCCCCTTGCCTCCAGGCTCACCTCTTTGCCTTGGGTTCCATCCACTGTTGGGCCTCAGCGAGAGGCCACTTCCTCGTCCCTCCCCTCTCTGCGGCATCTCCGGGAGTTTAAATCTCCGCGCAGACTCCCGGACCGTGGGATCCCGCCCCTTCCGGCGTGGCCCTGCTTCCGGTCCGGTGTTGCTCCTCCCCGCGTCGGCGTTTGGGCAGGGCCGCCAGCCG